TCATGAATACCAGAATTAGATGGCGCTTCCACTTTCCAGTGTAACTAGAAAGTGAACTAGGGTGTCGTGGGGAACTGAGTGATATCTTATCGTTCATGAATATGCAGTGAACTCTATCCGATCAGCTAGTTACCAGGAGCGGGGTGGGGTGGGCGAGATAGCTCAGTGGTTAGAGTGCGAATTTACTGACCAGAAGGTCCGTGGTTCGAACCCGACCTCTGCCTCTCGACTTCCCCTGTCTAGGCTTGGGCAACCTGGCAGTATCCCAACCCTCGTGTCTCCTTCCGGTGGCACCGAAAGGGCGCTTCAGCTGAACAAACTGGTCGGCTGAAATGAACTTAAGTATACACTGGACTCACCCATCGGTTCAGGTTCAACATGATTTGCTTTCGAACAACGTACACCGTGGTAAATCACCGCGTTCGACAAATCCAGATGGATCCGTTCCAAAACACAATTTCCGATTTCGGCATCGACGGGATCTGTATGACGCGAAAGAGTGGGGATAATGAGTAGCATTCATCGAAGATCATCATTATGGGTAAAGGGAACTTAGAGGTCATATTATGAACGGCGCTCACCTCTAAAATCGTCTGAGCAGTGGGAGATTCGGAAGGAAAACTTGGTTGATGTAGTGGATTGTGGTGAGCTGGAATTAACAAGAGTAAACTTATAAACGATTGGAATGACTGGCTTGCGGAATCAAGATAGATGTTCTTGTTCAAGGAATGCAGAATACCAAACGTTGGTCAAAGACTCAGCAATGGCGGTACATGCCTTAGACACGGGACATAGAATAGATCTGGAGAATGTAGAAGTTTTAAGACAGGGAATGCGATTCACACCACAGCGGCTGATAGCCGAGGCGGCGGAAATTACTAAGCATCACAGCGTGAATAGAATCGAGGGTGTGGAGCTAGCGAGCGTATGGAAAGCGGTCTTAGATAAACTGAGTTGACACGTGACGGTGTGGTTGTCAATCCACGTAGGATCATTAGAAAAAACGGGGGGATGGGGATGTAAACCCCAACCGACCAAAGGTCACAGCATCCCTCTTACACAACTAACTTAGCACTAGGTCACCCACACGGATGGACAGAAGGTTCAAACGAAGTTCAAGAGGAACCATCAAATGAACCGAACCAGAAGGACTAGACCCTAGGTTGGACCCAAGCACATGTAGGTTTCCCAGCCGACCCAACACTTGTTCAACCATTCTAACACACTAAAATCCCTCGGCCGATACCCAACAGAGATTTAACTTGACTTAGCTGATTGGTTCTCCTTCCGCCTTAAATCTCCACCAACCTCGGAACCTAGTCACTTGGCCTGACGAAGCTTTTGTGTGAAAAGCGAAACGTTGCCCAGCAATAAATCTACCGACTGTCACCGAACTTTTTCGAAAATGTTCTTGTTCTAGTGTGCATGATACCAACACGATGAAAATATTAAATTGGGCAGAAAACCGCAACAAATTTTAAGAAGAAAGTTAAACACAACGTTTGCTGCGACACGAATCGAGCAGCAACAGTATCATTCGAGTTCTGCGTTTGAGCATATTTTCTACCTGGTTTGAAAAGGTTGAACAGGTCTCGAGTAGCCATGTCAACTACTCACGTCCCTCGAAATTACGGAGAGGACTCATCCTGCATTTTGTGCAGGTAGTCAGATTAGCGGTGTCTCAGTGCCTGTAAAAAGAAAACGAGGAATCGCATGGAGACTCAGTGCTCTCTATACTCTTCTGGAGAGTTGTCTCTGTTCTGAGGGAGGGGAGAGGAGGTAGTATTCTGAAGGATCACGATGCATTGGATGGATCACACATTTACTTGTAGACAAACGAGGGTCGTTTTAGGTTTCAGTTGGGAGAGGAGAATACCTCTATTCAAAGGTGTCGTCACTCGAAGGGGCGGGATGACCTAAGTGGTTAGAGCGCGAATTTACTGACCGGAAGGTTCGTGGTTCGAACCCAACCTCTGCCTCTCGACTTCCTCCCTGTCTAGGCTCCGGCGACCTGGAAGTATCCCAGCCCTCGTGACTCCTTCGTATGGCATGACAGTCGTCACTCGAGGAGCCAGCCAACATTGGACTGAACAAAGTAAACTGAGTGATTAAAGGGTAAGGAATGCTGTCTTGTCCAAATGTAAGCTCATGAAAATGCTGATCAGCCACTTGTGGTCGAACGGCCTAAGGTCGCGGGTTCGAACCCATCAGGGGATTCGTTGGGTACGTACTGTAAATGATTTCGAAAAAGAATGAAATAAGTGTACAGAGCTTGTAGAGGCTTGTCTGAGTAGATTGATTTCACTTCGATTGGGACTATTCGACATACCTGGATTCTTGTGAAGCCGAACTGGAAGGACAACACCTACATTGGAACAAGGGGTCGGAGACAGGAAGGCGCTGGAAGCAGTGTGGTCGATAACGTCTGCTCTCATCGATAGGAGACACGAAATCTACCTCGTCGTGGGTACAAAGGCACGCGGTCTTGACCATCAATCGGTCCATGACTACGACAAGAGCTTCCGGACTGTGAGAACTGACAGGAACAACGAACCGCGGATCTGCGAGGACAATGTCCAGTAGAAACCTGGGAGAGGTCGGGGCCTGTGTATTGATCTGCAAGTAAGAAGACGAATAGACCAATCAAAGATCCGAGGATCTGCACAGACTGCACACATTCAGTTCAGACGAAAAAGTGCTCACTCAACGTAAGACCAGCGAGGAACTGATATCTTAAACAGTGTAAATGAGATCATAGCGAAAAGAAAGCTGAAGGACAAAAAAGCCAGGCGACCATCCAAAAACGTGTCCGGGGATAAAGTTTCAGCCCAGGGAAAAAGATATACGCTCATCAAGGTCGGAGATAGCTTCCCCGAAGAAACATAGACTCCTCAAGGGTCGTTATGAGATATGACAGGAGTTCGGCGAAGATGCGTGTCTTCGTGGCAGGATAAATGAAAGCTGAAGTCAAAGAAGCGAAGATGTTCGCCAAGTTGACCTCGAAATAGCTCAGTGGTTAAGGCGCTAGCCTATTGACCGGAAAGATGGAGGCTCGAGCCCAACTCCAGGATCACGACTGCTCCACCTGACAGTAAATCAGCCCTCGTGCTTCCTCCATGTTGTACACATTGTGCAACAGCTGAACGGCTATTGATCTATACAGGATAGTTCTAATTGGTGTATATAGGATGCAGGTAAGCAGCCGTCGATAGGTCGATCTGTCAGCAGTCCCGGATGAACAGCTGACCTGAATCAAGACTTCAACTAGATAAACAGAACACATTCCCCAGTCCAATACTTCAAACAATGCCTTAGTTATACCAAGTTAAGCGGGCTACTCTCAAGCTAACGATGGGACATTTGCATGGTGATTCTCGGCTTACAAGCACAAGCTGAAATAGATAAGTAGTATAGTATACAGTATAGTGTACTAGTACAGAATTATATAGTTTAGTGGTATAGTATATTAGTGAAAAGAAGAAGGCCTTCGCTGCGGAGTTATTTATTAGAAAATGCCAACTGGCCAGTTATAGACTATTGGACAGGGAAGCAAAGCTCTCATATGATCTTGTTTACAAAAACTGAATATCCATCTTCTCCTCGAACACGTCTTCCTGAACTTTCTTGGATATTCATTGACTGTTGCTCAGATCCAAGAAAATGCTACAAAGCGAATCCACAAATTCCGCAACAGATATCCGCACACAAAGCAAATTTGCAAGAAAACGTACTACTCGCATGCCCCCCAACAGTAGTATCACCGTTACAGCAGTATAGTATAGGCATAGATAAGTTACCATGGTTCAGCAAGAAATCCACATAATCACTAACCATCTGACCTTCAGCCGACTTCCTTGCTCGGGAAAACATGTCACGTAGATCGAAAAGTTCAACGATCGAGTCCAACAAAGCGATCATAAAAGATTGAATGTGAACGTAGATTGATGGGGCTATACGTGCCCAGATATAACCATTGATTTCTAGGTTTCCAGGGGAGGGTGTAAGAGAACGGAGTAGCCGGAAGCGTAGGGTTGAATCAACAGATAATTCCGCAGGAGATCGTATGCGGAAACGCTCATTGTAGAGTGAACAATCGTTGGCTGAATTTGTGGTGATCTGCAGTAAGGGAAATAACATGGAGAGTTCCAGCGTGAAAGAAAGAAACATCAGTGATCTGACCAAGTTTAACGCGTGTGGGTACCTTCATATTGAGTGTCGAGTTGCACAACGTGTTCCGAGGTGCGTAAGGCAGATTAATACGAAGGGCACAGTCAGCCTTGCATGGTCAGACGGGAATAGAAGTAACCGCCTTTGGGTTACCCACTGCACCTAATAGAGATGCACACACTGAACACACGTGCGCAAGTGATCAGTTTGATTTTTCCTGCTAAACAGTTGGTGGCTAGTAGTCTAACTAGTTACGCTACATACCCGAACCAGTTGTCAAGTTGCATAGAACAGAAGATAGGAAGCATGGTGTTGGAATCGAACCGAGTGTCAACTGAGAAAGTTCCGAAGCCCAAGAGGACAGACGACTTGTCAAGACTACTTAAGTAAGTTCTGCACAGTCAAGTTCCCAGGCTGACGGCTGGTTGGAAAACAGCTCAGGTCTCACTTCGGTGACTGCTCAATAATAGAAGTGTGACTCACTCCGAGAACAATATAAAAGAGCTTGTTGGAAAAAGGCGGTCTACGTACCACTAAATCGCCCAAACCGCCTTCCATAAACAGGTACGGTCCCGGGAAATTGTCCGGTGTGAACTGTCGATCGACAGAAAGATACGGTTCAAGTTGATCAACAAAATCCAGAAAGCAGAGACGCGCAGTGTGACCACTAAATTTGGCCAGGTCACACGGTCTCGGATCATCGCATGAGGTGGTCGTCAGTACAACCTCGAACGCGTCTGCATTGATGGAGATGAGGGTTGGTTCGGAGATTGTAGATGCGGTCGCACTGGTGTTGGTTGGCGGAATTTGTTCTGAAAGATCTACGACAAAACAGGGAGTGGAAGCAATTGAAGAAAAAACAAGTGTTCACGGAAACTGTGTCCTGACATTCACAATGGTCATGAAAGTGAGTAGCCAGTGGGGACCCCCATGAAGATGGATTTTACATCCATATGGTCGTTTATCTCATGTAGCAATTTCACTGGAAGCTTTATGAAATGTTTTTGAAATTGAACAATTTACATCACGCAAAAGCAAACCTACCTAGGATGAAAGTGCCAGTTTTAGTAGTAGGTTAATTAAAAATGTAAAATTCTACAATTATCGCTCAGAGTTCGCTGATAGGCGATCGAATCCCGTGTCCAAAACATACAATAGCTTAGGATTCATTTAACCCGAGCCTCAGATTGCCGAAACAAGGTTTGTTTCATTCAATCGACGTCCCGCAATCTTTCGCTTGTGGACTCAACATAACAAGGCGGAGAGATTCCACGGAATCGACTGATGTGATGCAAGAAAGAGTCAAGCCCCTGGAACCAACACGAAAAAATGACCGATTTCATGTGTCTTTTTACCAGAACCATCGGCTCTGAAGCGTCATTTTTCAGGACAATACACACTGGAGGCCGACAGAAAGCAAGAACCACGGTCGGCATACGAGTGTGTCACCGATCGATCACAAGCAGTTACATAGCGAGGTGGAAACACCTTAAAGTTCCGAGGATTTACGTACGTCTCATCCACATTACTGTGGGTCGTAGAGTCAATCTTCAATATTGGTACTACTTTTCTGGTAAGTCTATATCAACGAGGGGAACCACGGAACTAGAGTTTCGCTCCGATCAGAGCCCGGCACCAGTGCATCGCTTCTGTTGTGCTAACAGTTGAACTCCGGATATCTAAAACAGGATGGATGTGTTTTCATAAAGGAACCCATTCAGAAGGTTGCTGAAAACTCTTCGACAGCCCACAACAAGTTTCGCCCATCTTGGGGCTCATCAGGTAGGCGCAGTCCCCGAATTCCCGTCAACCTTATGATCTATTTGAACCCAAACCGGATTGTTTTCGAGAAATACATTCATTTGCAAATCAATTTGGTTTTCACGCGTGACTCAACTAAACCTCTCGTTTATGATATGATGATGCATGTGTATTCCTATCGGTCCAATAAAAAACACCGGAAGCAGCTCAAATGACTTGTCTGGGCTTTCGATGTGTGTGGTGGGCTCAAAGACCCACAAACAATTCTGGCTAAGGAGAGGGCTTTGCAGACGGCAAAATCGACGTTCCATCGTGAGGTTTCCACTTCGTTGGGCTGCGACATCACAAAATCAGATAAGAGGAAAATCCAACAAACAAAGAAGGAAATTGAAAGTAGGCGATGAGCCCTGAGAAGAGAAAAACCGGCGCCGTGTTGTCCAGAGTCTTCATCGATCATGTGAGTACCATGACACGAAAAGGGTCACGTGGCATGCGGGTTTTCACGTTTTATGCAGAACGCATTGACGCAAGACATTTGTTGCTTTATCACAATAGTAGACGAGGCAGTGAAAATTGAAATCACCCCCCCCCCATGAAGATGCAAACCTGAATCGCAAAACGATCAAAATTATGAGTTACGACAAAATCAGAATTTTGAAAAAAAAACTCACTCAAGGAAGACCGTAGACGGGTGTCAAACGAAGAACCATCGGGGCTCGAAAAACTCAAAAAGTCCAGTAGTAGAACCCACGGTTGTGGACGTAATCGGGATAACACTTGCTTGCATTGGACATAAATCATTCGCTTTGCCTGAATGGTAGAAACAGAAGATAGTTTTGCCTTCGGATTGAGAAAGGTTCCAAGCCTGATCGTCATTGATCAGTACCAGTAGGTAAATCAACAATTCCAGAGCCAACTAAGAGTTTCACAAAAGTACATTGATCATTTTCCGCTCATCCAACAGGATAGCAAAATAGTTCTATCAGGAACATGATTAGAAATAACTAACAACAAAGCACAACGGAACAAAATGCCCGAAATCAAAGCCTAGGAACCCCGAGGATTGATGACCGATGAGCTACAAAAAAGGAAGCAGATGGATTCCTTGTCGTTGTGGTCGGTTGAATTATTCCACGTAAAAGGCACGTAGTAGGATTTTAAGACATTCCTGACCCGAGATCAAAGTGCAGAGATCGGAATACATAAACAAAATGGTCAACAAACAAGAAAATACATCTTTGAAGGGCGATATGTGAGCACAGAAACATAGGGAGTCGAATTTCAAGTCTCGTTTAAAAAAGACGATGTTACTTCTTAAGTAGCAAGGAAAATATGGTGAGAAAATGGAATACAGCATTTTACGCATGAAAGCGCACAATACAATACAATACAATACAATGTGTAAAAATGTGATGTTGATGTAGGTTCTCAACAGAAAACGCACTTCCAACGCTCGAAAAGGCTGTGAACAATCCAAGTTGAGATGGGGATAAACTGATTCCTAGATACTTACGGTCGCTAACATCAGAAAGTACATAAATACTGACCCCAAGGTTCTTTATACGAGAAAAATAGAAAAGGTCAACGTCACTTCAGTGCTGTACTAACGTCGATCAAGTCGTAAATCTATCCTGGACGATCAGACAAACATATCTCAATATGTTCAGTGGCGAATTCGGGAAAAAAATCGCGGAGAAAAAAAGCAAATCCAGAAAAACCAAACATCACAAACCGAAAATAAAATGGGAACCTTTCAACTGCGATTTCGTCTTGTCAGTAAGGCCAACCTATGCTGAAAAGCACTGAAGATGAACCACTGTTTCATCTCTGTTGCGAATCATTGGCAGTGCGCATCTCACGAAACTCCGGTAAAGAATTTTGAACTCGAGACCTTTAGCCAGTATTTAAATGATTCACCTGTCGACCTCGAGCGCATGACTAGTTGTGTGACTAGCATTCACTGACAGAAACCGCATAACTGGGTCAAACTGTTTAGTGTTTAACTACTTGTCAAAGGTCACGGTTTCAACACTCCGAGTTTCGTGGCATGTCAATGTTGAGGATCACCAATATGGAAGGAACAGGTGTACGGTGCTTCCTGGCTTTTCAGCATAGATTAGTTTCATTGAAAGGACGAAATGTCGACTGGGTGTCATATAATCTCCTCGCACGACGTTCAAACAAATGAGTGCCACCCAGACGTTCGCCATTCGATCGTTAAGCACATGGCACCGGTTGGAGCAAAGTCCAACAAGGAGTGCTACCAAATGTTGAGTGTTAACCTGGCCAAAAGTTCGGGTCATCTACAGAACTGTCAACACCACACAGCAATGGTGCGAAGCTGTCTAAACAAAAAGCGCACCAAGTTGAACAGGTGGTATCAGGAAGGCCAGCTTCCTGAAAGCAACCACCAAATACCCGAAATCTACTGAGACTCTCAGCTCCGCTAGATGTTGACCAGACAGACAACACCCCCTCAATATGTAGCGCTTCACAGCCGTGTATCAGACTCAGACAGCGCGAGTCAGCGTTGATCAAGGTTAGACAACGTCCCCGCAATACGAATCACGTCGCGGCCAGACAGTGTGCGTCAGCATTGGATCAAGTTCAGACAGTGTCCTTCCAATAAAAAGCTTGAGACCCTTGTACTTTTCGCACACACTCACGCTCTCGCACTCGCTTGTTCGGAATATAGCTATTGTGTTCCCTTCCGTGAGCCTTTTTTCGGCACTAGGCACTAGAGCGGGTCAGCAGCAGATACCACAGATTGGCGAATCAGCAGATATAACAGGTGGCAAGTATCGGGACGAAATACAATAAAGTCTGAAATACCAAGACTGTGTTGTTCCAAAGGTATTCAAGTGCTGCGTTCACTTGAAAATTTCCCTCAGTTTACGCACATTTGTCTACGTTCGACAAGACAAACCAGCAGTGATTACACACAATCGATCGTTGTTCACAAAGCACGGATGGCATTCTTTCACGTAGAGACATCTGATCCGCAGCCTTGTGTTCTTGGTCATGACATACCGCTTAGAGAGCATTAGACACGCTACAGAATTTGGATCTCTGGTATTCACATTGAAGCAATTAGCCATGAAAAGACCACGCAAAAAAACAAGCCTACGAGAATCACTGCTTGCTTGTCTAGCTTTATTCAGAAGCTAGGTATTTTTGCACTTGTTGGATTTAATTCTGCATTGCATGCAAACAATTGGCTTGGTAATGAAAGATAAAATCACACATTTTTTTAACAGATGCAATGTACAGATACCGGAATCGGCAACTCAACCTGTTCCCTGCCTTCGATATATTTGTTCACACGTGCTACAGGACAAGGTACATTTCAACGAACGATTTGGTCCGACGAAGTTTTCTGTGCACATTTCAGGACAATTTCTCAAGTTGTTGTCGACTGAATGCTACAGAGATATCCAGGGCAGGCCTAGCAAATTAAGCTACGATGTTCTGGACAAGTCCGCGGATTCACCAGTTCCAGCTATTCTTTGGTCACCAGCGAGTCTGCATTAAAGTCGAACCGAATGAGCAAGTTTGTCCGGAGGCCAACCGTCCCTAATAACCGAACATCGCATCATTTGGACGGATGTGTCAAGTGCAGGACACGGACCAAACGAAGGCATGCCCTGATTGATCAGAATGCCAGCCAATCCGAGTCGAGCATCCTTGACTTGACGCTTCTCGCCCCCTCACGGTGCTTCTAACACGACCTTGTGGAACACTCTGTGACTATCCTATAAAAACAGTTGTAATAATTTCCCTTTGTCTCCATAAAGGGCTGGTTAGGGTCGCCGTGCCTTTTGATATACCATGGTGGACGGAGCAAGAAGCCAAGGGATCGATACAGAGTTGCACTACCGTTCAGCAATACACAACAACAGCCCAAGGAGGATGGTCACACCCTCGGTGAAAATTGGTTCACTTGAGAGCTTACAAACTGCGCAACGCAAAAGACAAGCAGAATTAAAGGACAATGGGTAACTTGAGTGCCTCGATCTCCCCGTAGCAAGCCTGATGCGCAAACGCTCAAACCGGTTCACCAATCAGTGCCTATTATAATCCATCAAGGATAATAAATTTAGACACTCCCGTAAGCGGAATCATGTCGTTACTCGATAAACCACTCAACACATGTGACCATGTGATGTGGGGCCCACGATGGAAAGAAGCAGTGGCATCATAATCTATCTAAGTGCGAGTTAATCACATTGATCATCAATGCTCGTGGCGAAACGTTTGAGTTCAAGTTACCACGGGGCGAGCTGATTCAGCGGTTAGAGCGCGAATTTACCGACGGGAAGGTCCCTGGTACGAACCGGACCTCTACATCTCGACTTATCCTGTCTAGGCTTGGGCAACCTGGCAATATATCAGCTCTCACGGTTTCTTTGGGTGGCATGGCAGCTAGGGAATACAATGTTGTGAGTGGACTGTACTGAGACAAGGTCATCCCAACTTACCTGACCAAATTTTTCTGGAACTCCTGAATCAACCAGATTGGACAGCATGAGCAGTTGAATACGCAGCGCAGCTGTGTGTAACAGCCGTAGTGAATTAGCAAAAGTGTCATATGCAGAACACGCTTCACACATCGCCAACTGAAACAACAAAGCGAATATATTATTGGTTATCGCAAATTATCCCCACATTATAACACGAATCGGTCAGCATACACACAGTGCTTTAAGAGGAAGAAAAGAGACATGGACTGCTGCAGTATTCCCATAAGCGGAAACGCTAGAGATCTACGAATGGTTATCTGTATGGTTACACTGAATCAATGGGATTATCGCAAGATTTTTTTTCCGTGTGTCCTCTATATTTTTGTGCATAAAGCTCTCCGTTGAGTACCAGTTCATCAGCTGAATATTGGTGTGTAACATGCACTGGACAAGGGACACGAAAATACTGGGGTTTTGAGGCGAGGACGACGGCGCACGTCGCAGAAACTGATGGCTGAGACGCTGCAGATAACCAAGCACCCCAGGGTTAATAGAATAGAAGACGTGGAGCTGGCAAGCGTGTAGAGGACGGTTTCGGATCAGTCGGGCGGTTATCAGAAGGAGTAGTAGTCATCATCTGATGTTCCACTTGACCTCATCCACATTCCCTCCCCCCTAACACCCACAAGCCCACAAAAACCAACGAAATCCACCAGTGGCCCCCGCGGTGAGCCATCAATGGAACCAACCTGAAGTGGAAGATTAAGGAACCAAACCCTATGGGAACTAATTCGAAACTCCATCATCCACCAACACAAGATTTTGACGATACTAACCGACAAGACTCGTTAATTGACACTCAAAACTGATCTGGTGCGCTAATATGAAGACGTCTTAGTGATCAGTTCTCCGTCTGTCTTAAAACCTGGTCAACTCGGTGACCCACCCACCTGGCCTGATGAAGTTTTTGTGTTAAAAGCGAAACGTTGCCCAAACAAAAAATTACCGTATATACATGTATCGCGATGTCTCGAAGATCGCGGTCCGGTGCAGCACACTCAGTTGCCTAGAAACATCAAAACCGAGAGATTCAGCTGGGTTCCAGGTAAGTCTTTGGCAAAACCAAATTTGTTTGCAAATAAGTGTATTTCCCTAAAATTACCTATTGTTTACTAAGTCCTTCTCTGGAACGAGTCTCCGTGAAGTTAACCAGATTACGCTGTAATGCTTTCTGGTCAACTTATATCTTGTTCGAAACAGAAAAAGAATTACGTTCATCCGACTCAATTGCGCCGGGTAAGGATATTTTTATTCCAGTGGAAACAAAGCTTTTCTTAAATTAATCTACATTGAAGGGAGCTTCCGCACAGACAGAAATTGGCTTCAAGCACTCACAGATACTACTGGTGTGGCTACTCACCTGATCGTCTGAAATTGCATGGGAACATGAACCGACTGAAGTATGGTGTATCTTCGACTCCCTACCCCAGTTAGAAGTCAGATCTGGACAGGAGGTAGTAATCGCTGAAGCGGTTTTTGAGACCGCTGCTGATTCTGCGTTTTCTGGCAGAACAGACAATAAAATGGGATCCACATTAGGCGTTGATCCGTTTTCGACTGGGAGCATATCACAGAGCACCACATCCCGGGCAAAAAGTTCACCACAAGACGAAAGGTGAGGGGTTGTGTTGGATGCTTGGGTTAGTTTCACAACCACGTCATTGAGTCTGAGACATGCCAGGGGTACCGGATTGATATCGAGATCGGCCATAGTATCAAGTTGCAGGTGCGGTAATGACAGACAAAAAGAAATCCGGTTTTTGGGAGAATCCATTGAAACTGGCTAAAACGAGAAAGGCGAGAGAAAAGTGGGGCGCCACTGCAGATTCGTGAACACGAGCATAACATAACTAAAGGTGCATTTCGTCCATAAGAACGCCATGTGCCTCAGTTCTTTCAGCACGGCCTTCAGACAAGGCACGGGCGAATGACCCGGATTGATCGTAAGCTCAATAACAAGAACTACATCATTGAAGTGGCAGAGGTGCATATACGAAATGAAAAAAGGCGTAACAGAGAAACCGATCTGTCCAATATAGTGCAGCGAAAAGGGAGAGTGGAGCCTAACATAATGCCACATCATTTATTTCGCGACAAAAAGAACGGTGGACCCAAGAGAGGACTCGAACCATAGACCTTTTCAATTAAGGACTCAGACTTGAAGTTGTGTGCCACTCTGGAGAAAACACACCGAAAACGAGTCCATGAAGTTCAAATTTCGGAAGAAACTTATTGTAGTGTAAAAAAATCATTCAGCTGTAGCACCCTTTCGGTGCCTAGCTACCAAGCCATACGAAGGAAGCACGAGGGCTGGAATACTGCCAGGTCGCCCAAGCCTAGACAGGGGTAGTCGAGAGGCAGAGATCGGGTTCGAACCACGGACCTCCCGGTCAGTAAATTCGCGCTCTAACCACTTGGTCCATCTCCACGGCTCATCACTCTTAACGATACTGCTTTGGTTTCTACTCGCTTTTCTTTTGGTCAAAGGTATGGGCGAGATGACTCAAGTGGTTAGAGCGCGAATTTACTGACCAGAAGGTCCGTGGTTCGAACCCAACCTCTGCCTCTCGACTTCCCCTGTTTAGGCTTGGGCAACCTGGCAGTATCCAAGCCCTCGTGCTACCTTCAGGTGGCATGGCATTTAGGCACCGAAAGGGTGTTAAATCTGAATGGATGTAGTGTACAGCTATGGTGTCCCTGGACTCACAGCTGTATTCGAAGATACTGGACCCGGAAGAGTTGCAGAACAATTGGAACGTTAGGATATAGTTCCAACAGATGGAGTTCAAAGGCAGCTGACGTTCTCAAGAAACGTGTTATACTAGAGGAACGCTACGGCCTAAAAAGATGGAACAACAAAGGACAAACGTGGTTGTAGGAATTGGTAAACCCTAATCAATTTGCGCACTACATGTGATTCCGACCGTTCAGTTGATAAGGAGAAGGGATTATTTGAATCAAAACGCAGTCGTGGCTTAGATACACCGCTGGGCCACTGCTGGGTCGGATAGAACAAAGCTGTACGCTATGACAAATCCAAGAAAGCTGCCCATTGAACATTGAATATAGAGCAACACGGAAAGAACTCACCTCCAAAGAACCACCCGTGTCACTGAACTGAGTCCGAAGTGTGGAAACACTGAGAAGAAATCTGGATAAGTGCAGACACACCGGCTTGGTGAGGTAAATGCGTACGGCACGCTCGACTTTCAGCTCCAAGAGAAAAGGTTCCAAATTGTTGGATGATGATGAAGAGGGTTGGTCCGAGGCGAGTGACGGGTCAAGGGATTCGGGTGATGAGTCAGAAAATAAGTCAGACGGACGGGCGGTGGAGGTATACCATAGTGGAAGGTGGAAACCTGAGATGGGTGACGAAAGCTGAAAAAAGGAATTGTTGTAAGGAGAGGGATTATTTACTGGGAATCATCACCGACCACTTGATGGTCTTTTATTGCAACGACTAGTGACAGTGAATCATCAGAAAGCTGGCGGTCACAGCGAGCACCATGCGTCAGATAAAACTTTTCCCACGGGGGAAAAGCCATAATGTTGCTACGTTATTCTGTAGCACCCTTTCGGTGCCTAGCTGCCATGCTGCCCGAAGGAAGCACGAAGGTTGGGATACTGCTAGGTTGCTCAAGCCTACACAGGGGAAGTCGAGAGGCAGAGGTCGGGTTCGAACCACGGACCTTCCGGCCAATAAATTCGCGCTCTAACCACTTCGGCCGTCCCGCCCCAACAACACCGTACTTATGAATCAGTTACATCACTTACCGCCTCCAGTGCAGAGCTATCTACCCCACATCCCCAGAAAATAGGTGAACAAAATTGTGGCAGCGAGAACCACTGTACGACAAGTAAGCGGTTCATAAGTTTCGCCGACAAGAGGCTTATGAGGACCATTTGACGACCTGCGAACGTTTCTGTCTTGTGCAACTTCCATTTCTATGGCCATTCGGTTTCACCAGGCCGTGTGAATACTAAGTTTTACCTGGCGTCAGGTTGAGTTATGGTTGCGACCAGCAGAAACCTGTCGCCGGGCCTCCAGAAAAGCAATGGTCTTATCAGAGATCCAATGTTTGGATGAGGTTGGCTGAGTTTTGCCGTAGACAGACGTTCCGGCTGTGAGTAGCGCTTTGGATATTTGTTCGCAGTGGCCGTTGATATCCAACATCGGACCAGCTGGCATGCGTTGGATGAGCCGCTAACCACTTGGGCCATCTCGCCCCATTCTGTAGGTTCCCTGCCGTTAAATACTGTAACTAAGGGGAAAACTAGCGGTGACGGAACTTACCCAAACACAACCTGAGATCGGTGCTAAAATTTGTTCAGCCCCACTGGATTGTCGACTTGAGTTAGGGCAAATCACGGACCGATAGAAGTGGAGCATGCGTTCGACCAATACGGGTGACGATATATGAAGGGCGGGGAATTTCGCGAACTCAACGAAAAGCAGTTCAGCCGAATCGAATCGCGTGCACACACGATTACTTGTGCAGTGAATCAAGCGATTGGGGCACAAGGACGGACAATCTGGATTGAAAAGGTGGACGTTTTGAAGTCGGGCAATAAGTGCACGACTTGAAGAAGCTGTTCGGTCTGGTATGACCAGAACTGGTTGGATGAGTTCGCAGCAGACGGGTAGTGAAAATAAATAGCGACTCGTTTCTGAGGGAGCCCGTGGAGGAACAAGCTTGGTGTCAATTCGCCATGTCGGTAAAGTTTGCGTCCATGATATTAGTTGCTCCAGTGTTGAGGCAGAATGCACATACGTGAAATGTGGAAGGAATAGTGAAAGCTCTGAAGGCAATCCCTTCTTGTGGTCAGCATCCGAAGTCGGCCACCTCAAGTTCATAAATACCGGTGAGTTTCCTCGGTCGGTCACCGAGGCGGAAGATGTTCCGATACTTTTTGACACGATGCCGGCGGTAAGGAGATAACGATACCTGAGAGAATTCTGTGTGAGATCTAGGACGCGCAGGCCGTTCAGTCGAAATGATATTGTTCGAGAACGGAGATCTATAGAGTGGAGAAATAACAGGGAGAGAGGATATTTTCTGGGAAGTACAGGTTAAATGACTGAATAGAGTACGTATCCGAACTGAACACAGCGCCAAGTCAATTCGGTTGCAGAAACATTCCTACAAACCACACTTGCGCTATCCGTTTGAAACAAAATCCAAAAGAAAGGGTTTTTGATCACATCACCTGTGCGACAATCGCATAAAACACGTTCCAGAGGGCAGAACTAGGTGTGTATCGCAAACCTACTCCCAAATATCGGGATAAGGGAACGTAATATACTACTCATAAGGCCGGTGAAAATCCTTCGACAGCCCATGACCGGTTCTGCCCTTCTTGGGGCTCATCAGGTAGGGGCACTTCCCGAGTTTCCGTCAACCTTCTGTTCTACTTGGAACCTAATTGGACAGACCAACATTAGCAAATCAACTTGGTTTTGAAGGGGATTCACCTGGAACCCAGCTGAATCTCTTGTTTATGATTTTCTTAAGCAACTGAATGTGCTGCACACAGGCCGCCTCATGTTTCAGTTGGAACGATATTCGAGATATCGCGATAGATGTATGGAGGTAATACATTTCTCATAAGGTTGCTGAAAATACAGCCTACGACTGGCTTCGCCCTTCTTGGGGCTCATCAGGTAGGCGCACTTCCCGTATCCCGAAAACCGGATGTTCTAGTTGAACCTAGATCGCACGAAATGGGCGAAATTCACTCATTTTCCAACTAATTTGGTTTTGCAGGAGACTCACCTGGAACCCAGCAGAATCTCTCGTTTATCATGTTTTTAAGAGTAAGGGAATAGTATCTCCATTGTTTTTGCTGGAAATTGCCGCTTGGGACTAATGAATCAAAGTATATTTGGCCAGCTCACACTGTACATTGCACCTATCATTCGTAGTTTCACCCGTTCACATAACGTTTTGTTGTAAAATAAGTAGACAGCACCCTAGGTCCAAAACGACATCCAAACGACTCTGCATAGATTAGGCAGGTTTACTAATTGTGAACGTGACAATATACAGGCCGTCATTAGAGGCCAATCAAGATACGACTGTCCAGCCAGCTTGAATTCTGCGAGAGAATGTCGGCAGCAAACATTAACGCCTCGGCGGCTAACGGATGTCTGCACTTACCACAAGCCGAGTATACAGACTCAACAGTTGAGTCTATTCGCAATAGTGAACACATCGAACGTGGCAATGGTTATTCGCGGAGCACATTCATTTAACCACTCATTCGGGTAGAATGCCAGCCAGCTGAGTCGTCCGTTGATGAGTGTAGTTCGCGAAATGCGTTTAATCTGGGTTCAAGTAGAACGTAAGACTAACAGAAACCCGGGGACTACACCTACCGAAAGAGTGACAAATCGGTAGTGGGCTATCAGAAACCTTATGTTTAGGGTTCCGATATGGCAATAGTTAATTCTGACCAGCCTTACAAACGTGAAAGAATGAGAATCCACAAGAACAAAAAGCCGGAGGACTATATGTGAAACACCTCGGGACGCAGGTTCTACGAGCAGCTCTGGAATCCCCGAGCATCAAGTCTGCACCAGCGGCACGATTTCTGTTTAAGACGGTGACAGAATGCTACTCGTGTAAGAACGATTAGGTGGACCTTTGAAAAAGGCTCAAGGTCCCGAGGTGCTCGGGCTGATAGTAACTGATGGTATCCGATTCCCTGTCTGACCGTATACCTTGCATATCTATCGAGAATTGCACTCGCCTATCAGTTGTCCAAGGGGCAAGATGGTTCAGTGGTTAGAGCACGAATTTACCGACCGGAGTTCCGCGGACCTCTGTATGTCGATTTCCCATGTCTAGGATTGTGCAAACTGACAGGATCCCAGCCGACGAGCACCCTTTGGGTGGCATAGCAGCTAGGCACCGAATGAGTGTTACAGCTGAACGGCTGACTTATTTATTAAGATTACATCCTAGAAAAAACTCAACAACAGTGACGGCTTCACTGATCGTCACACAACGCAACAGGGATGCCTGGACGTTCGAAATCGACTTGAGATGCATCAAAAACTTCTAGACAAACGTACACAAGTGGTAGCCAAGAGCATAATAGCGTCAGAGTGCAATGAGGATGTCAGTTTTTAGTTTCAGTTCTGTCCTGCTAGGTGTTATACTAAAGAAGTGTCTATAACTATGAGGGGGGGGGGTCACTGACCAGATTCGGAGCAGATATCGATTTCGTCCAAATTTGTAAGCACAATTCGTTCCGCACGGCAAACGTTTCCATGACACATGGCCTCGTCGGTGGTGGGGGTAGGTCGAATAACTCTGATCACCAACACGCTGAATCTGTCGACTGTCAAGCGGGTGATCTGCTGGATCGCTGAGGGTAGCGAGGATGAGGACGACGCCGATGATGGCTCATCAGATGGTCTGGACGAACCCGGAAAGATCTCAGACAACGAGGTCAGATAGTAGACACAGTTGTAGATTTCACCGAGAGTTGTGGGATTAACTACAGAGCAATGAAAAGCGAAAGTAACTCAGTTCAAGGGGCTATGGTCGCATCCTAGCTGCGCTCACGACAAAGAGAGAAAGAGACGCAAGGAACACGTGGTAAGACAAATAGCCCGAACGAACCTAATAGCTGCGATGGAAGCAAAACGGCTTTCAAAACTAACCGTTCGCAGGAGAAAATTAAACCATTAAAACAAGGGGACATCTGAACCGTTCTCGGGAGTGGGACGCTTCGGCTGAACCCATGTAACGTTTACAGGCCTGAAGCTGGGTTCGTGAATTTGTGCAAAGACAATGCAGGTTACGTCTCGATCAAATCCACGAAAGCCATTCAGATAACTTAAAGATGATGTGCTGCATACTGACTGCAGTCTATTCGTTGTGTCCCGGCCCTCGAACGAGGAGTCTCGTCTTGCATCTGTTCATCAGATTCGAGCGCATCAGCCAACCAATATGGTGATTTGCTTAACTATCAACCTACGAAGGTAGGTCGCCCACCAGATACGACGCATATGCTTGATCTGAGGTCATTTGCGCTCACGCGCAGCTTATTGTGACATCGCAATCCCACAGACTGGTTTGTTTAGGCACCCTGACGCGTTCGATACCTGGGATTACATATCATCAGCAGGTGACGACACCCAAAGTGTAATAACATTCCACTTGTGAGTGCGCTCGGGCGGCGGATATCCAAACCAAATGAGAAGAACAATTTCCTAATGGGGAAAGCATGTCACCGGAATACGCATTCAAATGGACGAATCTAAACCGCTCATCTAAGAAACTATTTTACGCATCGTGTTGTAATGGGGCAGCAGTGGATGTCTCCCGACTGTTAATAGATAGATTAATCGTATTCATCGGAGTAGGATGCTCACAGTCCAGGAAGCGTCAATATGTACATTTCTATTGGAGAGCACAGAGTGATCCCTGTTACGGTTCGACCACGCATTGAGCAAACAATGAGATATGCGGACCGTTACAATATTCCATCCCCAGCTATGTTGCTCGATCCAGACTCCTAGCACGGCGAATAGTTAGAAGACGAAAAAACCTGGGAAACAACTTTAATGATCAAAACAACATATGCATATATATATATATATATTCATATTTTGACCTTGGAAAATGTCGGAAGTTCGTTAGCACACACAAAGATACAGAGTTTTGGGAGATACTGATATCCCCAACGGTCCCAAGAGGGTTTTTTGGCCAAGTCACGTTTTCCGATAGATAATACGAACGAATGAATGAATGCGCTATTCTAATTTTTATTAGTTGACTACCGAGGTGTTTATTAGCCAGGATTCCGTTCGACTACTGGCAAACAACTCATGCTCCTGGAGTTATGCTGTCGACTTCTTTGGGGCCTGCTAAAGCGGACAGATTTGATACATGCACCTTGTTTCGAAGTTTCATAGTATTCTGATGGTCCGCAGCTTTGTTTCCAGAGCTATCTGCATTCCGATAGCCTTCAGTCAGCAACGGGCCGGTTTCATCGGACCAACCAACTGGGATGTCTCCAGGATCCGTCTTGTAATTCAATGCCAAGCTTTTGCTTAACATGGCTGGGTCCGAGTTCAATGCTTCAAAATAATATCTTAGCATATTTAGCTGGACATTAGCGACGGGTCTTCGTAACCACTCGATTCGTGCTCCATCCGACCATCATCGATCAGGACAAAATGCCCATACAGAAGTCGATTGAGTGACCGATGTTCTTGGTCCTAACATGTTATCTTATTCAGGGCCAATAACGTATTTAGGGGAATAACCGCGCTACCATATGATAAAGTTCCCACGTTTTTCTGTCGACATTCCAGATTGCACACCGAAAAACCCAGTTCGTTTCTTTTTGTGGCAGAGATCGAAACCGAGTATTACTTATTGACTTCAGGGGGTTGACAGGAATATGTACAAACCATGTTTATAACTTTTGTAACGCAAAATCCTGCGCCAAATTGTCCTATCGCTTGCAGTTGGGCTCTCCTACAACCAATAGGCTTAGCCCGCACGTGATTGGTCAGAAGGTCGGGTCGCTTCCCGTTAGCACACACAAAGATACAGAGTTTTGGGAGATACTGATATCCCCAACGGTCCCAAGAGGGTTTTTTGGCCAAGTCACGTTTTCCGATAGATAATACGAACGAATGAATGAATGCGCTATTCTAATTTTTATTAGTTGACTACCGAGGTGTTTATTAGCCAGGATTCCGTTCGACTACTGGCAAACAACTCATGCTCCTGGAGTTATGCTGTCGACTTCTTTGGGGCCTGCTAAAGCGGACAGATTTGATACATGCACCTTGTTTCGAAGTTTCATAGTATTCTGATGGTCCGCAGCTTTGTTTCCAGAGCTATCTGCATTCCGATAGCCTTCAGTCAGCAACGGGCCGGTTTCATCGGACCAACCAACTGGGATGTCTCCAGGATCCGTCTTGTAATTCAATGCCAAGCTTTTGCTTAACATGGCTGGGTCCGAGTTCAATGCTTCAAAATAATATCTTAGCATATTTAGCTGGACATTAGCGACGGGTCTTCGTAACCACTCGATTCGTGCTCCATCCGACCATCATCGATCAGGACAAAATGCCCATACAGAAGTCGATTGAGTGACCGATGTTCTTGGTCCTAACATGTTATCTTATTCAGGGCCAATAACGTATTTAGGGGAATAACCGCGCTACCATATGATAAAGTTCCCACGTTTTTCTGTCGACATTCCAGATTGCACACCGAAAAACCCAGTTCGTTTCTTTTTGTGGCAGAGATCGAAACCGAGTATTACTTATTGACTTCAGGGGGTTGACAGGAATATGTACAAACCATGTTTATAACTTTTGTAACGCAAAATCCTGCGCCAAATTGTCCTATCGCTTGCAGTTGGGCTCTCCTACAACCAATAGGCTTAGCCCGCACGTGATTGGTCAGAAGGTCGGGTCGCTTCCTAGTCCAGCATCAAGCTGAGCTCCGATTAGTCGAAAACAAGGACGCGACAGATAACCATGTACCAGTACGGTTGAATGCCGGTTACCAGTGTTGAGTTCACAATGCAGCCGAATTTTTCAAACGTTGATGTCGCACACACTGTACAAAGGTTTTCGACCTGTTTTTTGGGTGCTTAGTACACTTTTTGCACTTTTGATGGTTCTGTGGAAGAGCGTCAACTTTGGATAGTCAGATCGAGAACTGGAGCGGGGCATTAACGTTGTTGCACTTTTCATGCGCTTTTAAAAGCAGTTTGATTTGTGCGGATATCCTGCTGAGTTCAGCAACTATGCTGAGAAAGGTCAAGCTGACCAGAAACGAATAGTTGGCATCCGCTGTTGAGCGGATTCGAATGGTGTTACAACCACATAAGAATGCGATGACTGGAGATGGTAGTGCACAGACCATTGCAGTACTGGTTTTAGAAAAGTCTTCGAGTGGATGTGAGACACACGACTGAGTTTATGAAGAAAGTTATACTTGAAGTAATCAAGTAACAATAGAAACCGTCGACGATTGACAGGAAGGTTGCTGACAAGTCGGTCACCAGTTTCTGAAATGCATCGTCTTACTTTCCAAGCTACTCTCAGACCAGAAGCAATGAAAACAAAACACATCACCGGTGAACTCACATACAACGTCCAAGCAGTGCAGGTGTAGCCGTACAGTACGGGTTCCAACGATTTGGGACCTCGGAGTGACATGGCTGTCAACATCCCTGGCGGCAGCGCGCGGAATCCAGTCAAAGTAAAGACGTATGAAGTGTGAATCTTGGTGATCTGGTAAAAAAAGGGCAAAGAAAGAGCTACACGCAGAGTCAGGGGGTGGGGGGGAAAAGAACGTAGATGCGACTCATTCTCGGTTTCAGTTCATGGGAATTTACAGCCATATTTATACTGGTTGAGGGACAGTATGGAACATGAATTCCAATCCGGTCTTAGTGCTCACCAACTGATTGGTAAAGTGCTAAACTACTCGGTGGGAGGTCGAGGGTTAACAAACTCCCGGGAGTTTTGTGAGAGGTGAAGTGCTAACGATCCCCAATAGGGATGGAACCGCTGTGCAATGCTTCTCTGCTTTTCTGCACAGACTGGCTTCGTCCACAGGGTGAAATTCCGGCTGTCAATGAACGATCACACGTGAAGGAAAATCTGTCACCCAAACTAACAATCGCAGCTGTATCACTGCACCAACAGGTGTTCCGTCACAGTATGAAGCGAAGTTGAGCAATTCTGGTGGGGTAGCAAAATGACACTTTTTCTGAAGAATCCTCACTCTTCTCAGTTACACAAGTTATTTTGACTGCTTGCATCAAAAATGAAATGTAACGGAATGAACGCCGTCTCAGACAGACGGATTTCCCACAGGCAGACCACTCGACTAGGGTGCACAACATAGGGTTCCCCATAAGCTATGACTGCAAACCTCCTAAGTACAACTACTGTATTTCCTTTCCCCCAGTCAAACCCTTCCCTTGTGTGAAGCTGCTGTTTACTGCGTCTACCTCATAGACTCGATGTGCATTTGTAATCCCTCATGAACTTTTAATCCTTGACTTATCGAACCAATTTGGTCGGTCATATTTTACGCGCGCTTTTTGACCGTTTTGCGTGACCACGTGTTGTGCCCAGGTCTATGTCGCAAACTAAGATCGATTTGCCATCTTCTTCGGGCTTTCTTTGGACTTGCACTACTTCAGTTTGGACGGAAACCCCCATAATTTGAGGTTTGTATCCCTTCTGAACATTTTATACATGTAGTACCGCATCTTTTGATAAATCTCAAGAATCCACAATCCCTGGCTTGTGATTTTGCGCGTCACTCAAGTGGGCTTTCCTGAATATGTCGAAGTATTCTACAACCGGCTTCGCCAGGATAGTCTCTTTCTGTATTGAATTATCGCGTCGCCGTATGTATCGAGAGAATTACGAGCATTCGTCTTGTGACGTACAGTCGACCTATCCTGGAAAGCCGAGAAACGTGCTACGGCCACCTACCTATGTGCTGACAGGCGGTTGGTCAAGGTCAATCGTATCGGAGAGATGCGCAGCCCCTTTTTCAATTACTTCAAAAAAGAATCAAACACTTGAAAATTTGTTCGAAATTTGCGCCTGAACGTGTTGAAGGTTCAGCACTCACTCCAAAATGAGACGATAAGTTGGGAGCAGCTGTGATGAATCACTCTTGTCAGACTGGAAGATTAACCAAAGGACCAAGAGATTTTCAGCATTTCGACCGAGAATAAGGCGGCATCCGGAGTTACTGATTTCAAATGTTATTTGAATCTGTGACTATGCACCGGCCCCAAATTCGACCTTATCGACTGAGAGCCACTACAACACCAGCAGAATAGATATTTACATCACTCCAGTTTAAACGGGTCTTCCCAACCCAATACTGGAATGGTTGTGCCCAAAAAACAGCACCGGATTCGAGCTTAGAGCTCATCGATGGTGTGCCGGTTGTTGAACTCCATTTAACCAAAATACACCCATCTTTACAGACACGCCACTTCTCTACTAGTGCAAGATGGGTGCGCCTGAACTACGAGCAGCGAATTATGTTTATAAGCGACGAGCACCGTTTTCTCGACACTTCGACCAGCAAACAGGAGTCTGATTTGGTTGTACAAATCAAAAACCCGCTGGTCATGCGGCGAAGCGGTCGGTCGAATGAGAGAGAGAGAGAGAGTTCAACCGAAATCCCGAGAGTTGTGGATTCGAGTCCCCCTTTCTGGATATTTGAGGTACAAACTGACTGCGACTTCTAGCATATACACAACTACTGGAGAGTATTCAACGACCTTGCAGGAGAAAAATGGGATTAAAAAAGTTCCAAAAGATCTTCTCATTGCATTCAAAAAGAAACAAATCGGAAAGAAGAGGACGCGGTCCTTATTGTGAGCTGTCACTTTAGAATCACGTGACTCAAATTGGGTGGTTGAAGGACGGGCATGATACCCCGTCTAAACATTGCTGATCAGTCAACGGGACCTGAACAGTAGCATTCAAGCCTTGAGTAATCTACTCGTGACTCACTACCAGAATAAGATCGGTTGTTTGGTGGCAATCAGTTCGATTGTATAGCTGGATCTCGATAGAAAAACATCGAGTTCCGTCGAACGGTATTCGGGAGAGACAATTCACCCCCGATAGACGAATTGATCACACTGCGTTGGTTGCGCTGGCTTGGCCACGTGCTGCGTATGCCAGTCGACCGACTTCCACGAAGGGCTCTTTTCGCACAACCACGTGAAGGGTGGAAGAGAGCCAGAGGCGGTCAAACAATGACTTGGCAGCGAAGTGTGAAGGCCATTACCAGCAAACTCAGCTGCGCTGGTCATTGCCGTCTTCCTGGATGGGGACCCCGAGACAGGTCACATCATGCATCCAAGCTATTGTCTTCAGTCCGTAGCTTCCTTCCTAATCCCCCATTTGACAGTCCATTGACAGTGCCAATTTAGCAGCTCCCGCCTCCAATGTGCAGCTACCTACCCCACCTCCCCGAATCATCGGTGAACGAAACTGTGGCAGCCACAACCACTTTTCGACAAGTACGTGGTTCTTACAGCTGACAATGATGATGACGGTGATCGCTTCACAAATCGTTTGAACAAGAAAGCAAAAAGCCGTTCCGTAGAACACATCGGTTAAGATAACGTCTAATGACAAAGGTCAAATGGCGCTCACCTGAAAACTCCAATATTGGTGGCACATGGCCTTCCGGTGGTTGAACTAATGGGTGAATAACGCTCTGAACAGGATCAATAGGGGTCTCCCTGGGATCCATAGAAGAGGTAGAACGGACTTCTAGTCGACCATCATCATTTAGACTGGAAAAGAGAAAAACCGGCGCAAATACGGTTCAACACAGACAGTAAATCAAAACCCTGTCTGAGGTTTGTAAAGAGAGGCAAAGTATATAAACGTTTACAGCACGCTTTTCCCTTCAGAATTAGAAGAATCTGCCTAGAATGAGCCACTCACATGCGTTTTTTTCGCGACATCTCGGACGCCATCATGAACCCAGGCCACGTTAGGTTATTTCATAAACGGAAAATACTGTACAATGAATGCAGTCATAAGGGTCGGTTTTTGATTAGAACAATAAACCAGAGAGGGCATCAATTTTTCACACTAATGCAGTCAAGCTGACCGCTGTTTGTAATGCAGACTCCGTGCTCGATAACGCGTCAAAAGAGGACCATCAGTGGATTTGTCTATTGAACTTAAAAGTAATCGACCAGATAGACTATAGTGTCTTCGGTTCAACTAAGGTCACGCAGACAAAGCTGGTGTGCACCTATCACTGACGACGCGGCCCAGTGTGACATCGAAGCTTCTGACAGTAAAAAAAGGAGTCAGATCGCTTAGCCTTAGTATCTTGTTTTGAGGAACGGTAGCTTTGAACGGGTTAATAGGTTTTCATAAACGAAACTACTCACAAGGTTGCTGAAAACTCTTCGACAGCGCACGACCGGTTTCGCCCTTCTTGGGACGCATCAACTAGGCGCAGTCCCCGAGTTTCCGTCAACCTTATGTTCTACTTGAACCCAAATTAGACTGTTTTCGAGAAATACACTCATTTGCAAGTAGAACATAAGGCTGACGGAAACTCAGGGACTGCGCCTACCTGATGAGCCCCAAGAAGGGCGAAACCGGTCGTGGGCTGTCGAAGAGTTCTCAGCAACCTTGTGAGTAGTTTC